CATACACTTTCTGTTATATGGTTACTGAACCAGTAACTTTTCCATCCATGGGCCATTTCAAACTGTATCTGTTATTTGCAATCCAAAAAGTCCTAACTAATAACCTCTAACTAATATTCAGAGAAACTGAATAAGATGGAAATTATATGTAAAGGTATACTTCACTGAAACAGTAAAAGGACCTACTTAGTATGCCTTTCCTACTTAGAAAACTTTCATGTATCCGATATAATGTCTTTCTCTTCCCTACTAGGTAAACCCCCAAATTACTATTTAATTCCCTTTTTAATACACTCTATGCAAATCACATCTGTTTTTTGTTTTTTTTTTTTTTTGGCCATGCCGCGCAGCATGCAGGATCTTAGTTCCCTGACCAGGGATCGAACCAGTGCCCCATGCCGTGGAAGCATGGAGTTTTAACCACTGGACCACCAGGGAAGTCCTTCACATCATTTTTTAACATAGTCAATTTACCTCTTTCTTTGTTACACCCTAACCAGTACATGGTGAGATAACAATAAGCAATTACAATGAGAATGTAGAATGCCAGGCAAACAAGTAGAGGGCTGGCTTCCCTAGAGAGGTCATCACCTCTACGGAGACCTGAAAGATAAGTATGAGCTAACAAAACCAAAGGGGAAGGAAGCAGGGAGCTAGGTAAGGCATTCCAGACAGAGGAAAGCTTCTGTACTCAGGCCTAGATTTAACAAACGTGGCATCTTGAGGGAGAAATCCAAGTAACTGTTTATGACTAGCAGCACATTGAGGGCAAAAGGAGAAAGTGACAGAGGATGAAGAAGTAAACATGCCAGATCATGATGCTGAAAGCCAAATTAAGAAGTTCAGGGACTTCCCTGGTGGCACAGTGGTTAAGAATCTGCCTGCCAATGCAGGGGACACGGGTTCGAGCCCTAGTCCGGGAATATCCCACATGCTGTGGAGCAACTAAGCCCGTGCGCCACAACTACTGAGCCTGTGCTCTAGAGCCCACGAGCCACAACTACTGAGCCCACGTGCCACAACTACTGAAGCCCGCGCACCTACAGCCCATGCTCCGCGAGAAGAGAAGCCACCACAATGAGAAGCCCATGCACGGAAACGAAGAGTAGCCCCCTCACTGCAACTAGAGAAAGCCCGTGCGCAGCAACGAAGACCAAACGCAGCCAAAAATAAATAAATAAAATAAATAAAAAAATTTTTTTAAGTTCAGATTTTATCCTGAAGGCAATGAAAAGTCACAAAAAAAAAATGTTTTGGGACTTCCCTGGCGGTCCAGTGGTTAGGACTCTGTACTTCCACTGCAGGGGCGCACAGGTTTGATCCCTGATCAGGGAACTAAGATCCCACAAGCCGCACAGTGTGGCAAAAAAAAAAAAAAATTTTTTTAGCAGGGGAGTTACAGGTTTAAATGTGTTAGATTACTCTGGCTACAGTGGGAAAAGTGGATTGGAAGGCAAGACTGGAAGAAGGGATAACCACTTAGGAGGCTACTGCGGCAATCCAGGTTAAGAGATGATGCTAACCATGGAGTTGGATGTTAGCCTTGGGAATAGAGGAAAAGGCACAGGTTCAAGAGATATTAAGGAGAAAGAATTCAACAGGGCTCAGTGATCAACCAGATATGAAGCTTAAAATAGAGGAAAAGGAATAGCCCATGTTTCTGCCAAGTTATTATTAGCAGCGCCTACTATTTACCGATTTCTTAGCACACATGCATTATCTCATTTAATCTTCCCCTAGAAAGAAGTCGTAGTTTGTTTCATATTTTTGGTTTGAGGCTGGGAGAGGGAAGGTTGATAATAACTACAGTTTGGGATATGCTCAGCCTGAGTTACCTGTGGGAGCATACAAATGAACATGTCATGAAGGTAGATGATATACCAGTCGGTTATCAGGAAAGAGCTTTGGGTTGGAGATTTAAGAATTAACAGCATACAGATAGTAACTGGGAAAAATATTTTTTAAAGTAAAATATCTCCTTTATTCACGCCAATATTTATTTAATACCTATACAACTATAGCTTTGGGACTAGTGTTAGAGAAAAAAAATTGAGTAAAATTCAGTGAAACTCAGTTACTATAGGGAGGAGGTAGCTCAATATAGCAGTAAGTATGTAACGGTTCAGAGGTAATACAATGAGTATGTGATTATCTCTGCTGGGGAAAGGAAGGAAAGAAGACTTTACAACATGTACCACCTAAATCTTGAAGTAGGTTAGCAGAGAGTTTAGGGGGAGGAGGACACGGAGAACAGTGAAGACACTACAGGCGGAAGAAGCAAATTTAAACACAAAAGAAAAAAATTTTTAAAAGATACCCTGCTTCAGAACAGAAAAATTAAATATTATTCATGTCAATCTCCAAAACTAATTCTTAAATTTAATAAATAGAGCAGATATATTAAAAAAAATTTTAAAGACACATAGGGAAAATTCATTCTACTAAATACTATATCATATTATGAAAGTAACATTATACAATTAAATGGTATGGCTACAAATAGTTGATAAAAGATGGAAGGATTGTTATTAAAAGTCAAGAGTCCAGATATAATTCTTTTTTTTCTAATTTATTTATTTTATTTATTTATTTATTTATTTTTGGCTGTGTTGGGTCTTTGTTGCTGCACACGGGCTTTCTCTAGTTGTGGCGAGAGGGGGCTACTCTTCGTTGCAGTGTGCGGGCTTCTCATTGCGGTGGCTTCCCTTGTTGTGGAGCACGGGCTCTAGGCGTGCGGCCTTCAGTAGTTGCGGCGCACGGGCTCAGTAGTTGTGGCTCATGGGCTCTAGAGCACAGGCTCAGTAGTTGTGGTGCACTGGCTTAGTTGCTCTGTGGCATGTGGGATCTTCCCGGACCAGGGCTCGAACCTGTGTCCCCTGCATTGGCAGGTGGATACTCAACCACTGTGCCACCAGGGAAGCCCCAGATATAATTCTAATGACGTCTGGCTTACTCATAGACTGGCATGATAAATATAAAAAAAAAATTCAATCTCTTCTTTAATTCCTAATAAAACTACTACTAAAGGCATTTAATAATGTGATCTGCTAAGATTTAATGTTTGACCTGACAAACTAAGATTATTCCCAAGACTTAGAATGTGAGTTTGCATATAAAAAGCTGAATAGAAGGAAGGCAAAGATGGTAGTTCTCTTCTAACTGCTTTGCATATCAAAAGACATGCATAACCATAGATAATCAAGAAGAAAGGGGAGATTTTAAGAGAAGGAAAATCCTCAGATAGTATTAAAAAAACATGCACCTACACTGATAATATTTATTTAGCCTCTATTGTGTACAGATACTATGCCTACTTTAATAAAGAAAAAAACATTCCAAAACTTAAGCCCACTTTTTCTATATGAAGTCCAGCGCTCGGTCCTCTTTGCTCTCCCCTTCAAAGCAACTAAAGTCAACAGGTGCACACACTGACATTCGTTAAGTACTAAATGCTGATTTGTCCTGGGTTTTGTTTGTTTTATACGTTAGTCTTTTTTCATGAACTAAAGTGTAGCACCCATGCAGAAAAGCAGCCACTTCTTTCCTATTCTTTTCACCATCTCCATCACGGCAGCCCTCCATCCTACCACAGCCACTTGAATAATAAAGGCCCTGGCACAGGAACAAAAAATTGTTGATTTAATTTCTGACCTTTAACAACGGACAACGTAAGAAAATTAAACCATGCTTATTATCAAAACAAACACATGATGTTTACATTTCTTAAAGCGTTTAAGGATTCTTTCATTGAAAACTGAAGGATGAAAGTTAAAATGAGTTAAAAAGAGAGCTGGGCGTTTGACAGAAAAACAGTGGAAATAATAAAAAAAAGAATGAAAAGCCTGCTGTTAAGATGAAAAGGTAACATTTTTTTTTAAGTGGGGGAAGACAGGCAGCTGCAAATCAGTTTTTTCTGAGAAGCCAGGTTCATGTCCAGAATTTTTTTCTCTGAGCTCAACCAATCCCCACCTTTTCTGAGTTATCCAGTTTCCAGGCAAGCAGCGCTTCTTGATTGGCTTAAAGATGTCGAGTAGAAAAACCAGCCAATCCTACCTTCAAGTCAGAACTGTGCTATGAAGACATTACAACCACTGCATGGCGAGAATGTGTACAAACCTGTCCGTGCCACAAATATCAGATCCTAGTTCTAAAGACTGTTGCCGAAAAGAATATTCTTTAAAGCCAACAGCGAGCGCGATCGGCCGTTTACACTTTTTTTTCTTTTTAAATTACTCTAGCTCTCTTTCGAAGAGAAAACAACAACAAAAACACCACGTTTTAACCAAGAGCTTAAGAAATAAACTGCCCCAGGTCGAGTGACTCGCTCTATCCAAGACGGATTTCCACACGGCCCTCTAGGAGAGGGTCCGGATCACTGTAGGGCTCAAGGAGGGACCCAGCGAGGATCAAAGTTGCCGTGGGGGAGGGGGTGTGGACGACGATCCAAGCAGCACAGACACCGGGAACCGGGAATGCCTCCCCGCAGTATCCAAACTCGGAACGTGCGGAGAGGCTGTGTTTGGATTGGAAGTGTGTAAATAAACAGCTCTAATAGGACTACGTGCTCGGGAGGGTGGCCCGAAGTTCCAAGAAGGATCCGCCTGGGAAAAGCCGAAGGCGCTCGGAGGGCCTCGAGGTCAAGTCCGGGCGGGAACTGACAGGGAAGCTACTGGGGGCGAGAGGGGTGTGTCAAGGGCCTGAAGGCCCGCCAGGGACTGGGGGGCCAGGAAGGCGGCCGCAGCTGCCGCCTTCGCCCGACCTCGGGCGGCGCGCCATGGCCCGCCTCTCACCGACGCCTCACTTCCCTTCCGTCCGGGCGACCGGGCCCGCGGGCCAGACTGCCAGCGCCGGCCCCCCACGTTCGGGGATTTGGGTTTTGGTGGCAGCGCCTCCCGCCGCTTACCTCAGGCCCTCCGCTCGGATTCGGGGACTCAGGGATTCCTTCCCTCCCGGACCCTCAGCCCAGCCCCGCCGCCCCGCCTCCCACCCGCCGCCTTTACCTGCTCCGGGAACGGGCGGAGGGCGTCGAGGCCGAGGCCGCGGCGTCGAGTGTGAGACGCAGCGCCGCGATTCCGCAGCCCTTTCCCGCCGCCGCCACTGCGCTCTCCGGCACGGCGCAGAGCCGGCGAGCAGCGGCGGCCGCGGGGGGAAGACGCACGACGGGCGCCCGGCGGGGAGACACTGCCGCTCTCCGTCCGACCGGGGAAGAGCAGCCTCGCAGCAACCAGCCGCGAGAGGGCGGGTGGGCGGCCGAATGGGGAGGGGTCTCGGAGAGTAGGAAATGGCTGCCACGTCGCCCAGGTGGATCGTTGCTCTCCGCCTCCCCCACCCACGCCGGCTCCCGACCGAGACCTCTGGTTCGTCCCCGAGCTCCGCTGGGGCGCGTCGGCCCGCCCCGCAGGGCCAGCCCCGGCGACCCCTGCCCGCGGGCGCTCCCGCCTCTCCCGCTCCCCACTGAGAGCGGGCCCCGGCCTGGCTGGTTCTGCTGCATCTGAGCCGCCCCCACCCCCGAAAAAAGCTCGCCCGAAAGCCTGACGTGTTTCCCCCTCTCCTTGTGGTGGGGTCACACGGAGAAGGAAACCCTTTTCAATGCGTCGGATTTTCGGGGAAGGCGGGAGCCGTTTGTTTGTTTGTTTGTTTGCGATACGCGGGCCTCTCACTGTTGTGGCCTCTCCCGTTACGGAGCACAGGCTCCGGACGCGCAGGCCCAGCGGCCATGGCTCACGGGCCCAGCCGCTCCGCGGCATGTGGGATCTTCCCGGACCAGGGCACGAACCCGTGTCCCCTGCATCGGCAGGCGGACTCTCAACCACTGCGCCACCAGGGAAGCCCGGCGGGAGCCGTTTTGAGCTGGTGAACGTAGCAATAAGGGGCCCGTAATTTCGGCCGAAACAAGCTGCGCGGTAACCGTGGTAGACACAACCGTGTATAAGCCTCTTCACTCTCGCAATCTTCAAAAGCAAAACAGAAACACAAGATCGTACTCGCTGGTTGAGGCTGGGAAGGAAATGGAAGCCGGGGCGGGCCCGCCAGCTCGCGGGTCCCAGCGGCAAGTTGGTAGAGCGCGGGGCGAGCCGAGCGGCCTCGGCTTAGCCTAACTGAGCTGTTGACTCGAGGCGTGTAAGGCCACGGCGGCGGCGGGCGCGCGAACCCCGCCTCCGCGCGCGCCGCGCTGTCCGCGGGAGGTTTCTGGGCGCGCGGCCCGCTGCCCCTCTGCGCGCTCGGGCGTCTGACACGGCGCGGCCGCCTCTGAGCCGGGAGACAAAGGGGTCGGCTGCAGCCGCGGCCGCAGCCGGGACCGAGGCTGCCTAGTCCCAACCGGCGCCGCCGACATGCGGTCAGAACCCGCTGGCGGAAGCACAGAAAAAACGAGACCACGTTTGCAACGTAGAACCGCAGGCGCTGACCTTTGCCCCGCTTAGAGCTTCAGTTTTCAGGTGCCAAGAAAAAGCAACGAGGTTTTCTGCCCTTTTGCATTCACTGTGTTATTAGATCGTCCCCAAAACCTGCTCCATTTTTTTGTCCTCCTAAACCCTGCCTTCCTTTGTTTGCTTCTTCTGTGTTCTGACGTGAAATGTTGTGTTTTCAGGCACACGAATTTTTCACCCTTGCTTTCTGGGGGTGGTGATTATGCTTCTTTGTTTTTTTCCGCCCTCTGTTCCCCTCCCTTTGCAATTACTTTTTGTTCCACCATCAGTGTTTTTCGTTCGTAGAGAAAAGAAGTAGCCCCCTGACAAAGTATTCCTTTGCATCGAAGAGACAGACTGTCAGTGTTGTTTTAGTAATTGCTATAAACTGAGTGGAAATTTGGGGAAAATGCAAGTGAATTTTTATCTTCATTTAGGTCTAGTTGGAACACTAACTCACGAAAACATTCTAGTGGTTTTTTTAGAAACCCGAAATATTTAAGCAGAGACCTCGGGTTTGGTACACGTTCTAATGAAACCAACCACACGGGAAAAAAAAGGTCTGGTTTTTTTTCCCCTTTCGTATGATTTTTGTATTTTTAAAAGTCCCTTGAGCCCCTGTTAAATTAAAATACAAACACCCCTATCAATGCTTTTATTAATTTTGAAGCAGCAGAGATTTTAACAAAGTACCCAGAATCTCAAGATACAAATAACTTTTGCTGAGACCCTGACGTTATCTCTGCCTCTGAACAGCCATTAAAAGAGACTAATAACAGTGATACATGCCACTTTAGTAATGAAAGAATCCTAGTAATTATAAACTTCAAAGAAATCTAGCAAGTTAATATTAATTTCATTCATATGAAATATGAACATAATAAAATGATTATCAGGCTGATAATATCAACATGATAATAAAAACTGGCGTTTAAATTCTTGATTTTTCCTTTGAACATTGTTAAGGATTCATCACATCTTAGATCTGAACAAAAAAAAATAAAGTATTCTTAATACTGGAAAATATATTGCAAGCCAGCAAGACATCACCCAGGCTGAATATTTAAAGAAAAAATAGTGTTTGCTTCCTATATCAATAAAAGAAAAACATCAATACTATAAAGTTCTAAAATCAGACTCAAATGAAGAACAAAGCAATCTTTACTCAACATCTACAATGCCAGCCTTCTTTGTGAATATTTATAAAGATTTCCTCCTCCCTTATTGGTTTAAATTCTAAGCCAATAGCAAAAGTACAACACATCTTTTAAAGGGTGAGACATAAGCATTAGGTTAAAACATTGGATAAACTGATTGTTTATCATGCTCATTCTCATTTGAGATTGGGTATCTTTTAATTTTAAAGAAGAAATTTAAGAATATCTGAATTATTGAGTATCTTGATGTACCTTAAATACCAAGGTGCTACTCCTGATCTCACACTGCTCTCTATAATCTTCCAGTTGGTTATGTTACAATATTTAATTCTCTAAAATGCCAGGTGAATCTGTAGAATGGCAAAATGCTACCACTTAACACTTTAAGTAAGATGAACCCTGGCATTTCTTTAGATGAAAGACTGGCCTTTAAGGAAATAATAAAATTTACATTTTTTTAAATGTCTTGGATTTTTGTAAATAAATAAAAGTTTGTAATTTATTATAAACAAATCTTTGATATTTGTCTAAAGCATCTTCGGTCTATTTAACAGCTAAATTCTAAACATGCTTGTTTATGTTTAGAACATAAGTATGATTTCCTCTCAGTCGAAAATAATTTATGCCACCTTTACATTTCTATCCTTTTAATTTGACTTGGAGCATTCCACTTAATTTAATTATTTACATATTTATAATCTCCCTTAGTAGATCATCAATTCCTTGAAGATAGGTTCTGTTTCCCATTTAGTCTTGTATTCCTCATTACCAAACTCAGACCCTTGTACAAAACACTCCTTGGACACTTGATGAGTAAAAGAATGAGCATTACTCCATGACACAGCATATGGCAAATCAAAAGAAAATCTGTCTCAGGATTTTTTTCCTCTTTTACATAGTGGCTGATAAATACTTGTTTTCATTCCCAATTAAACTTAGAATAACATTTTGCAATAACATTACTAAAAGAAAGTAAGAACCAACATATGCTGGAACTCCTGTGTTTTTCAATTTTAAATCTGGTAGAAACTGGATAGTGAGTTATATTGCTGTTATCTAAAGTAAATAATATCAGTGGGCTTATCTTTATAAAAGATTTCTTTACCACACTCAACAGGAACTGCAAGCTTTGTGATCTTGGGAAAATTACTTTAAGCCCTCTAAAACTCAAATTTCTCATCTCTCTAATGCATTCATTATATCTACTTATGATTAATTAAAATAATGAAAGCATGTAAAAGTAAAGGCTCAATAGATGGTAGTTATTAATTGCAGATATTATGGATTCAATCATGAAGAAAAAGTAATTTTCTCTGTGCCGTTATTTATCTATAAAAAGGCAGGCATAAAGTGCTGCTTTTTTTTTTTTTAAGTGAGGAAACAAATATCTCAAAGGAAGGAATAGGATACTAAGAACATCTACGGAGAGGAGATAACTTTTAAGAATTGAAATTTGTTAAGAGAATACATCTTAAGTGTTCTTCGTGTGCACACACACACACACACACACACACACACACACAAAAGGTAACTATGAGAAGTGATGGGAGGTATTAATTGTGATAAGCATTTCACAATGTATACCTATATCAAATCATCATGTTATACACTTTAAGTATGCACAATTTTTTATTTATTATTATTATTTTTTGCAGTACACGGGGCTCTCACTGTTGTGGCCTCTCCCATTGTGGAGCACAGGCTCCGGATGCGCAGGCTCAGGGGCCATGGCTCATGGGCCCAGCCGCTCCACGGCATGTGGGATCTTCCCGGACCGGGGCACAAACCCGTGTCCCCTGCATCGGCAGGCGGACTCTCAACCACTGCGCCACCAGGGAAGCCCAATATCCAGAGTTTTAATCAAGTAAACTAGATAAGGGGGAAAAAAATTAAATATTGTTTTCCTAGAAAAACATTATCATTTCTAGAAAAAATGTTGTCATTCCAACTTGCTCTCTGAATGTAATATCACCTAAGTGCCTTTGTCGCATGTAAAACAGTTCCAGATTTTACTTTAGGTCCCATATAGATGTGAGTGTTTCAAAATATGTCCTATATTGGACATTTGTTCATGGTAGGGCATAGGAATTTCTCATTATTTGCTTTGATGGACTGCTGAAAAATACCTGTTCCAAATCAGGATGGTTTGTAGGATGATGTCAAGGAGTTTCCTCATTTTCTTTTGGCTGATTCCAAAATACAGAGGAATTTGCAGCTTCATGGAACATAGAAAAGAGAAGTTAAATAACAGTAATTTGTCAGAGATTGACCAGCATTGATCAGAGTAGCCCTGCTCAGTACACAAATTCTCCAGTCTCCTTCCATTTAATTCAGTAAATATATATTCCTTTTCTGTTTGGTTTTGTTTGGGTTTTTTTGGCTGCACCTCGGGGCTTGTGGAATCTTAGTTCCCGACCAGGGACTGAACCCGCCCCGTTGGCACTGAGAGTTTGGAGTCCTAACCACTGGACTGCCAGGGAATTCCCAGTAAATATATATTCCTGTGATTTATGTTGGGGTCTTCAGGGAGCCCAGTAAATAGCATTGGTCTTCGCTGTCTAAACTGA